TCTTCCAATACTCAGTACAGCGGTTCAATGGTACAGGAGCCTGATTAAACCCCAACCAGCTGTGTGCTCTGTTCATAAATAACAGGCAGCAATTCACAACAGTGCTTGCTCCAGAGCATTCCTCTCACCTTTTAGGCTCTTGAATCTTTGCACTAAGGAAGTTTATACCCCAGGTACCAAAGGAAGTGTTGAAGGCCAGGTTGGATGAGGCTTTGAGCAACCTGGTCTGGCGGAAGGCGTCCCTGCTGCTGGCAGGGGGGTTGGAACTGGATGAGCTTTAAGGTCCCTTCCAACCCAAACCAGTCTGGGATTCTGTGACATTGGCTGCACTCGATGATCTTAAAGGTCTTTTCTAACCAAAACAATTCAATGATAACCTCAAAGTGCCTCATTCTCGATATTTACCTGCGATTTGCAGCCCATCCCTCTGTTCTGCTGTCTGTACCCCACGGACAAGCTCTGTGGGTACTGTTGATGGGATTATTTGTGTGGCAGCGCTGTGAAATGGGCACGTGAACTGATCTGGGGTGAAAACCAGAGCGCGTTCAGCGGTGTGTTGTACCGGTCCTTCCACATAACTTGTTTGAGCGCGGCCACGTCCAGTAGAATCGGCGCAGTGAGGGGGAGGTTGTAGCTTGAGTGAACAGCTTAAGCTGTTTATGTTGATAAGGAGATTGGAAAGTAAAACTATACCTTCAGTTTGGCTTTGTTTTGGTTGTGTGTTTCTAGACGTTTGAGGAGGAGCGTCCTTTCATTTCATTTTCATAACTGAATGCCTACAAAAACACCATCAGCTTTCAAAATGACTTTGAACTGACACCTGCTGTTTTGCAGAAGAGCAAGTCACCTTCTTAAAAGCATTAACAGTTCTTGTCCCTCGCTGTTGTGAATCAAAGCTGTCCAGACAAGCTGGTTCACACCTCACTAGCCCAGCAGGGCCTCTTATCTGCAGTTCAGGAATGGGAGCTTTCCTTTCGTATGCCAAAACAAAACTCCTTTATTATAATTGGTTTACACTTATCAGTATTACAGGTTGTAAAGATTAGATACTTGTATTTAATTCTTAAACCCTGGAAGATAATTGGAGTCAGACTAAGGATTCACTGGGCAAGTGAATTTCAAAATACTGCTGTGTAAAATACTTTTTTAAAAATTAATATTTTTTTTTGTTTTGAGAAACAAGGAAACTGGTATTTATTATTAGTGGTTAAAGATATATCCTTAATACTCTAAATGGAAGTGTTAATTCCTGTTTGATATGCAGTAAATGGACTCTAGTTCATCTTGTGTTATTTTTCTTTGTACTGTGGATGTTTCTTTCTTAATTTTTGTTTCCTGTAATTCAGGTGGCAGCTTTGCCGTAGGTACGTGACTTCTTTCAGAAAAATACGTGGTGATTATAGCTGACTTCTGTCCAGTTTATGCTTTTAAAAATGGATATGTGTGTACCTTGGCAGTGGGGAAGCTGTCAGCTGTAGTAGGTGTTGTGTCCAGCTCTGGGAGCTTTGGGAATGTCAGAGAGAATCCCGAGAGCAGCAGCGAGCTTGGTCAAGGATCCAGAAGTCGTGAGGAGAGAGTGAGAGAATTGCAGTTACAAATCTTATCATTCTTGTCTCTAGATTAGACAAGGCTTCAAATATCTGGGAGTTCTTGTGTCTCTAGAGTATAACTAAAAAAAAAAAGAGAGAAAGAGAAAAAAAAAGAGGTTTAAATAGTGTTTGGAAAATTTGCAGTAGAGGTTGGAAATCTCTCGTTGACGGGGAGGACTCAGCTGCCTCTGTCAGAGACCTTTTGGTGATAAATTCTGTTGGGCAGCAATGTGGGTTTTGTAACCCTGTGCTGGTGGGAAAGGATGTACTATTTTCATGTCACAAACCTTCTGGGCCTGATTCTTCTTGACTAAAGTGCTGGCGTTGAGGAGAGCCCTTCCCTGGATGTGCAGAAAAATGGTGGGAGCTTGTGTTGGGGAGGCTCAGGCAGCTGGGTAAAGGATGCCTGTAAAGAGGGAAGGAACCCTGGGGATGCTGTTAGTGACAACAAATGTAATGACAGAAAACAAAATGGTTTATTCCAAGCTTCCTCCCTCTCCCTGTTTGAGTGTGTGAGGTACAGAGCCCATCTCACGCGATTTCTCTGCGTTAGGAGTTGCAGGAGGTTCCCCACTTCTTCCCAGGCCTTGGACCACAGTTGGGATGGTTGAACCTTTCTTCCCTGGGAGTTGGAAGCAGGTTCATGCTATAATTTTTAAAGCCTGGGGGATCTGACAGGCTTTCATGGCCTTTGAGTGGACTAACTCTGGTGACATCAAGGTGTCCACTATAAGTAAAAATTTATAGTTCAAAAGTAAACTGGACAATTCACTTTCTTACTGTATCAGTGCTCAGCAACCTCTAATATTATGTGTTGTTTAAGTAGTTCCTCTTACATTAAGCAACAAATTGCTCATATTAAAATGGTTTGTCATAAAGCAGAGTTGTTTCTTGTCTTTAAAATATCTTCCAGAGATAGTTTGGGATGGGATATTTTTGGCATATGTATTAGAAGGATGCAGAGACTAACCTTGCCCTTACAGCTGTAGTTCCTAAGGGCCATTCCCAGTGTGTTAATCATGTCCAGTTCAGTATATTGGCCTTTAGGAGCTGGAGCTACTGGCTGGCTCTGAAAGCTCTGCCCTGCCCCTCTGAGGCAGAAAGTTGGAAAACAGATAATTTTGGGGGGAGGGAGCAAAGAAGCAAGTGTTTTGGTTTGGTTTGGTTTTTAAAGAACAAGCGGGTCGTTGTCTTCAAGTGTGAGTTAGAGGAGAAGCTGTAGTGACACTAAACATGATGAGGAGATATCACTTGGAATTCTGGATCATTTGTTGAGGATCTGGGACCCCCTTTGCACTAGTATCAAGTGTAGAATAACAACTTTTCTTTCAAAATTAATAGTGTGGAGCAGTTGACTGGACACCCCCGTTGACAGGACTGACGCTGGACCCAGGGCTGGTGCATCTCTCTCTCTCTTTTTCTCTCTTCTAACTCTCTTTGTCTTTTTTCTCTTTTTCCCTTTTCCCTCTCATAACTACGATACGAATCCCACGCGAGTGCTGAACCCTTTTTGTAACTAAGATAACCTGAATTTGGAAAACTTAAAAACATTGGTAATACGGGTTATTCCCATTATAAATAAAACATTTAACTGGTCGTTTGGTGTCGTTTCACCTTAATTTAGCCCAAGTGGGTTTGCAGAACCTACTGGCTCTGCTCCTGCCTCTGATGTGGGATGTGACATTTGGAAATGGTTGGACTGGTGCCGGTGGAGCCGCAGGATGGTGGGGACGGGCGCAGGGTGGGATCTCTTGATGTCCTTCTATTAATAAGCCTCAGCCCGACAGCGAGGAGGGACGAGTCGCTTCTTGGCAGCTAGTAGGAAATGGCAGTTGTTACGGCCGAAGATGTCTGTTTGGAGGCCACCTGCTTGTTCACTGCCTGCCAGGAACTGAATTTAGAGGGTTTGTAGTTATCTTTCAGCTGGCTCTGACTTCTCTTATCAAATATTTCTTCAGTGCCTGACTTTGATTTAATCCGAGGGAGGATTTTCCCTGTGTTTGCAGCTCTTTTGTGTTCTCGCCTTTTAAAAAAAGGAACAAGGGTTACAACCTAAATCAAAGTATTTTAATGTTGGTTTTCCTTTCCCTTTATTTAGCCATCTGAGCTGAAATGTTCTTTGTTTTAGGAGGAGGAAAGGATTTTGTGTATCAGGGCTACAGCGCAGAGCCATAATGTGGTTATTTGAGGTCAGTAACCACAGGGCACTGGGAATATGAATCTTTCCCTTAGGTCTGTGACAAAGGATTTCCAGTGGAGCTGCAACAGCAGATCTTGTTGGTGAGGAGAAGTGATTTCCACTGCTAGGGGTTATTCTATATTCTTGAATTATTTGAGCTACACTGAAGGAACATGTGTGTTTTCTGCAGGGATTGAAGAGTCGTGTAGACACAGTGCTGAGGGACATGGGTGAGTCGGGGACTGGTCAGTGTTGGGTTCATGGTTGGACTCCATGATCTTAGAGTTTTTTTCCAATCTAGGCAATTCTGGGTTTCTACTTAAGATTATGTGGATGTTTTTATTTCTAATTGACATGAAATATTAGAAAAATCTTTGCTGCATCAATGGGGCTTTGGTATTTCAGCACTTGAGCAAAACTCGTGTCAAAGTTGTGCATCTAGGAACAGGGCATCACTTCTGTCTTCTGGAATTTGCTGGTTAAAAACCTTGATTTGATGCAAAATAATCTTGTGCTTCTGTCTGCTGTGGAGAGTAGTGGAAAACTGACAGATTCTGTTGTGACTCCAGCACTCTGTGGTCCCCTCAAAACCACTGTGTATCGATCAGGAAATCATCTCACTGATTCTACTGCTTTAAAGATCTGTTTGTGTTGCTGGTTCGTGTGTGTCAATATGTGAGAGGAACCTTTGGGTTCTTTTTGAAGTGTTTGGGGTTTTTTTTGCCTTAGGGGGGCTTTTGGTTCTTTTTGAAGGGGTTTTTTTTTGCCTTTATTGTTTAGGGGGAACCTCATGCAAGGAAGTGACTTTACTGTATAAAGAATTTGTAAGAATAGTGGCAATTCAGAATAGAGTCGGGGGTTTCTCCTTTCTGATAGCTTCTCCTGTAAGAGACAAAAATGAGATCTGCAGTAAGTGCCTGAAAACTTTCATATGTCTAAGAATACTCTTTCCAAGCTATATTCTCATGTAATATTTTTATTTTCAAAGGAAAACATTTGGAAAAAAAAATAGAGTAAGTCAATACAAGAATGCCACCTTTTTGGGGTTCAGTGTTTGGGCTGAGGTTGCAGTGCTGGGTGCTCCAGGTCACCGTGTATTTACAGCAGACAGTGTTGTCTTGGCGACTCATTTACAAGTGACAAAGAAACCCTACTAGAAAACCCTAAACTTTGACTATTTATTGTTTTTATTTTCTAGAAAACCCTAAACTTTGACTAATTATTGTTCTTTATTTTGTAGAAAACCTCAAACTTTTGACTATTTCTTTATTGATTTTCCTTTTCTGTTTGTGTTGGCTTGTGTTTCTGAAGATTAAGTTCCTTCTCTGGTTGTCTTTTTCATGAATTGTCTTCCCATGGTTTAGGGGATCCTCGCACTGGAAGTTGGGAGAACCTTAGCTAGAGAGTTATTTATGCTGGAGGCAGTTTTGCTCTAGGAGCCCTACAGAAGCTGTGAGTTTAAGTAGACTGTGGGTTGAGAGGTAAATTAGTGAAATTCCAAGTTTTTTGGATGGATTATTGGGGTTTTTTGTGTTTTATTTTAAGCAATGGCCATAAGTACAGAATTTCGTCATCCTTCTGTTTCACTCTTAGCAGGAGTCCCATCGATGCTTGCTGTCTTGTTGTGTTTTATGCATTTTTTTGTGCTTTATTAATTTAAAATATTGTGTTACACTTGGTGCAGAAGGCTTTAAGACTTTTAACCTGTACAAAAAAAAAGGCAAATGTAGCAAGTAAAGATGTGCTACAACAATATACTCTGTTTTACTGTGAAAAAAATTGTATCTGTCGATCTAGATACTTGGAGAAAGTGCTACAGCTGGGTGGGCAGATAGTCTTAAACTGGGCTTAAACTGGAACCAGCAGCTTTTTTTGGATGTTTAATGTGTGGCATGTGAATGTATTCAAGACCAAAGCTGTCCTGGTAATAGAAACAGGATTATTGAATATGAAGTCTGGCACTTGATCTGCCCTGCCTTTGTTTTCAGATGTGTGCAAACCCTCAGTCTGTGGTTTAGCAGATACCTGTTTCACCTGCACCTTTTAATTTAATTTGTTTGATTGCATTATAATCAGCACAGCTGAACTGAGAGCTCAAGAGTTTTGCTGAGACTTGAAGAAGGTGGTGGTGCAGAGGCTGAACGTGCAAAATGATGGGAGCTTTAGGGCGGTTATTAGCTGTGATATTCTGTGTCTGCACATCCTGGGTGTGATAGCCACTTATTTTAAATAAATAAGTTACTTTAAAAAGTAACTTATTTTAGTCACAAAAATTAATACAAGATAGAATCATAGAATGGTTTGGATTGGAAGGGACCTTAAAGATCATCCAGTCCCAACCCCCCTGCCAGCAGCAGGGACACCTTCCACTAGACCAGGTTGCTCAAAGCCTCATCCAGCCTGGCCGAGAACACTTCCAGGGAGGGGGCATCTACAACTTCCTTGGGCAACCTGGAATAAAAGATAAATCTTTTATTAACAGCTATAAAAATCCACAGCACTATGCATTTTGGTAATCATCCTTTTTGGTTTAGCAAACCTTAGGAAGCTGATAAAAAGAGTTCTGGCAAGTTTAACAGTAGGGGTTTAAGCATTGTCATGTGCTTCTCTGCTGGAGGATTGTACCACGTGTGACAAAGGCACGAGAGTGGCTTCCCCCTGAGCTGCAGCACCTGGTAAGCTGATGCAGAGCCTGGGATGGGCTTTTCAGTGAAGATACTGGATTTAAACTGGGGCATCTTGAGTGAGTCACGTGCTCCACTTTGCCACCGTAAGGTCAGTAATTCCAACAAAAGATTGTTTAAACCGCTCTAGAGGGTTTGGCTGCAGGACTCAAAGCTTCTAGTCCAGAAATTAGAAAGAAAATAGTTGGTCTCTGGGAGGAGCATGACGGGCTGGAGGTTTTTAAAAAGCCAAAGAACGAAAATCTTTTATCTTCAGCTGGGTTCTAACAGCAATAAAGAGTGTTATTGCTGCTTCATATCTCTCTGGTAACTGATGTGACTTGATAGGAGTTTTTAACTGGATAAAATTGTCACAGGTGCCCGCCTTTCCTGCAGGGAGGGGAGAGAGCTAAATAAAAGGCAGCTTTGGAAATTCATCTTTCTGTTCTTTATAGGCTTGTGTTTCTGGATTAGGTTTTATCCACAGGGCAGGACACCTGAGGAGCTTAAAGGTATTTGTGTCCTTTGAGTTGGAAAGATTTAATTTCTCAGGTGTGTCTTGTCTGCCTCTTAACAAATGCCGAAGGAACTTGCATCTGGAGGTAGTGACATACTGTTAAATTGTGATGGAAAAGTCAGTGTCTGTAGTATCTTTGGCTGGGTAGGTGGTGCTTTGGAAAGCTTAGTTAGATTTAACTGCTATTTAACACCACTGCTTTAAACTTTGGAGGGTTCTGGCTCTCTGTTGTTTTTTTTTATGGGGCTTTGGAAGAATCTGATTTGAGGGAAGAGCAAAGACCTTGTGAGTCATCATGTTAGGCTGGTAAATGACTCTAAGGTAGCTAATATTACTCCATATTCTACATGAACAAGTAATATTTGTTCTGCTCTTAAAAGTCTTCTTTAAGAGCAGCTCTTCATTAGCTTACCAGTCTCCTGGTGTGGTGAGGAGATTACATCCAGTAAGTGAATATTGTAATATGAGGAGTAATGAAGACTCAGCAGGCATGGGAGGTTTTTTGTTTTATATTCCATGCTGTGATTTCCCCTTTTACATATACACATTTTATTAGGAGTGTAACCTTGGGACATGCTTAGATTGTCACAAAGCATTGCAAGTGCACTTGTCCTGATCAGTTTTTCTCTCTGTACGTGACGTGTGATGTAGTACCAAATGGATGCTCTTAGGATTAAAGTGTAGTAGTTGATTACAGAAGGAGCTTGTAAAGTTGCTGGAGAAAGCTTTGTGTATGTGTGGGCCAGAATTAGTCTGGCCTTTATTAGGAACTACAAATCAGATTGCAGTAGTTAATCTCCATCTGTAAAATAGCGGTGGCTGTGAGGAACTGAGGATGATTCACTGATTTGTGCTGTAATTTTAAGAATAAAGCTTGATAAATGTTTGTGCTTGGTGCTCCTCCTATGCCCACATCCCCCACCCCAGCCACACAGTGATCCTTAAATCTTAAAACTCTGCTCTACAACTGATAAAGTGGTTTTGGGGAATTAGTAAACCAGTCTTCATGTTTTATTATCCTCTATCCCAAGTTAAGCATGTGGTTTTTTTTGTCTTGCAGTATGTTCAAGCAGATGCTCCTACCAATAAAACACTGGCTGGGCTGGTGGTGCAGCTGCTGCAATTCCAGGAAGATGCCTTTGGAAAACATGTCACCAATCCTGCCTTCACAAAGCTTCCTGTGAGTATGGGGGTTGACCTGCTGCTGTTACAACAGCATATTGTGTTCTTCATCTAGTATCTGCTGCTGGTGTGACTGGGGGATCTGTGATTAGCCTGAAGTTTTTGCTGCTGCAATGTCTAGAAGGGGTAAAATAGCAACTCCTCCTTAAAAGCAGAATTTCAGATCATTCAGATCTTATTTTTTATACATTTGGAAGTGACTTCCTGAATACTGTGGAAAGGTTTTAATTTCTAGTAAAATTCTATACAAACTTGTAAATTTTAAATCAAATCTGTTCAGACTGATGCGTCCTAAACTGACTGAATAACATGATTTCCATCAGGCATTTCTGGTGATTAAACACCAAACTTTTAATGTTGTCAGCACTGAAAAATGGCTTTACCATGTTCTTTAGTAGCACATAGTTACCTGATTCATCTGGAATAGTTTTCCAGTCACCCTGGATATTGGAATACAGAAACATGGACATTTTAAGGGTTACTTATTTAAAGATCAAACTTTGACACATCTTCAGCGGTGGTATCTCAGTGATTGTGTTCAGACATCAGCCCCGTTGTGCTTGGAACCCTGCCAACCCCCAAAAGAAACTTGTCCAAGTGAGTGTGAAGTCTAAACAACTGGCAGAGGGAAGAGGGATGTGGGAAATGGTGAGGACAAAAGAACAAAGGAATTTCAGTTGTGAAGGGCAAGGACTGCAGGGTGGCATCAAGCACCCAGTTGGCCGATTTAGGGTTGGTTTTCTGGGCCAAGACAACTGTCAGAAATGTGTATGTAGGTGTTGTGGACATCAACGGGAAGGTCTTTGCTACTGAATTCATCCTGCCTTGTACTCAGCACTGGTGAGGCTGCAGCTGGAGTGCTGGGGTCAGTGTTGGGCCCCTGAGTCCAAGAAGGACATGGAGGTGCTGGAGCGTGTCCAGAGAAGGGAACGGAGCTGGGGAAGGGTCTGGAGCACAAGTGTGCTGAGTTCCCTTGTGGCTGAGGGACCTGGGGGTGTTGAGCCTGGAGAAAAGGAGGCTGAGGGGAGACCTTGTGGCTCTGTGCAAGTCCCTTGGAGGAGGGTGGAGAGAGGTGGGGGTGGGTCTGTTCAACCAAGGCCCAAGGGACAGGCCAAGAGGAAATGGGCTCCAGTTGTGGCCAGGGCAGTTGAGATGGGATGTGAGGAAGAATTTCTTTGCTGCAAGGGTTCTGAGGCATTGGAAGGGGTTGCCCAGGGCAGTGGTGGAGTCCCCATCCCTGGAGGGATTTAGAAGAGGGGTGGATGAGGTGCTCAGAGATCTGGTTTAGTAGTGGACAGGTACGGTTGGACTCCATGATCTCAAAGGTCTTTTCCAACCAAAAGGTTCTATGATTCTGTGAATGTTTACTGGGAACCGAAGCTCTTGTGTCTGGGGTTCTGTTTATATTTACATACTAAGTTGGGAATACTTATCGCTGATTATGATATCATAAACTGAAGCTGTTCTGAAAACTATTGAGAGTACTTCTATCTTCTGTGCTCCACTGCTTAGAGAATATTATCTTTTATTATTTTATGGTGATTTTTTTTTCCTTGCCAGGTGTTTTGCTTATGTAAATTTTTGTGAAGATTGAGAATTCAGAAGAGAGCTTTTCAGACTTAGTAGTTGGGTGAATCTCTGGGTGCTTAGGAATGTGCACAGAAGCACCACAAGATGCCATTAAGATGCAGCTCACAATCTGATCACCTGATATCTCGGTGATAATGACAGACTTTAGGGACAGAGGTGACCATTGTGGTGCTTTGTTTTGATACCATGGTGTAGACCATAAAACTGCACCAACATTCAACAAGTTGATAAGCCCATGTGAGTGTTCTCAAGTCTTAAATTGATTTGTCTTATCTTAAAAATGGGTAATAAAGATTTCAGTGGTGTTGTAAATATGTTGTTCCTGTGTTTAACTATTCTTGCTCTTTCGAAGGTCTAATCTGATCAAATTTGCTCAGCTTGAGTTTAGAGCAGTTGGATCTCTCTGCTCTTAATTACTGCCGACAGAAGACAGCTCATCAGTCCTTTATATTGTTTTTATGAAAAAATGGGCTGTGTACTCTGAAGATGAGGTTAGCTTTCACTTTTTTAGAGGTGGAATTCAAGGTACTGGTTCAGGCTGCTGAGGAGACTTTGTTATCCTGCCATTGTGCTTTGAAGATGTGGGGAATGGTTCTGTTTTACAGGACTGTGTCTGGCTTGGGAAGAGAGCTGGAGCAAAGGGATGTGTCAAGTGACAATGCTGATCTCCAGAAATGTCTTGAAAAGCTGTTGCAGACTTTCACTGAAACAGAATGAAACTCAGGCTAAAAGTTTGTAGTTACCTCAGTGACTGTTCAGTATCACTACGTTCCTAGCAAGGGAGGATCTGAAGTTGAAGAGGAGGAGGTCATGCTTGTGTGAAAGAAACAACCCCCAAGCCATCAAAACTTTGAGCACTATCACAGAATCCCAGAGTGGTGGGGTTGGCAGGGACCTCAGGAGATCATCCAGTCCAACCCCCCTACCAAAGCAGGTCCATCTCCAGCAGGGTGGACAGGGGTTTGAACATCCCCAGAGATGGAGACTCCACACCCTCTCTGGGCAGCCTCTCCCAGGACTCCGGCACCCTCACAGTGAAGAAGTTTTTTCCTTCAGTTTGTCTGGAACTCCTGGTGTCCCAGTTTGTGCCCATTGCCCCTTGTCCTGTCACTGGGCACCACCGAGAAGAGCCCGGCCCCATCCATTTGGCCCCCACATTTCAGATCTTTACAGACACTGATCAGATCCCCTCTCAGGCTGCTCTTCTCCAGGCTGAACAGTCCCAGCTCTCTCAGCCTCTCCTCGTCAGGCAGATGCTCCAGGCATCTGTGTACCTGCAGATGACGGCAGAAGTCCTCAGTTTGTGACTACTGCTCGTAACTACCATCACTAAAGGCTGCTGTTAATAGTCCATCCCTTGGGTGATGCTGTTCTTCCTTCATGGTCTTGAGAACTGCAGTTGTTGCAAAACAGCATCACCCGGAGCACTTGGTGATGAGAACATGTCAAACCAAGGTTGTTTTTCCAGTTCACCTGAGAGCCTTTATATTTATTTTCCAAGTACTAACCCGTGTGCCTCACCCTTGTTCTCTGGAGCAGTTGGTAACAAAGAGAAGCTGGTCTCTTCCATCAGTATTCGAGATAAACCTCTCTGACCTAGCCTGCATCTAAATCACTACAGACCATGTGTGTTGAAATAAAGTTCAGACATTTTACTGGTGCTTTGAGTGGATGAAATTGACCTTGTGTTGGAGGGAGGGTTGTTAGTTCTGTGTTTGAGCTCCTGTTCTTGGCAAGGATGCTGTGCAGTACAGGCTCTGTGAATAGATGTAGGGTAAATGAAGGACTATTGCAGCTCAACTTCTGATTATTGCTTTTAAATACATATTTTCTAACCTTACTGGTGCTCAAAACAGCAAATGCTGATTAATTCACCTCGTTTCACGTATTTGAAATAAAGGCTTTATTGAGATATTAACTCTTGAAGACGGCAAACTGTAAGGCCAGTTGGTCTTAATTGCCTCGTTATGATGGATTTTGTTGAGTAAAAATGTTGCTGGAATCTGATTTATTGGCAGCTGCATCTCTCCTGTGAAACAGGTTTTGTCTAATTATTAAAAGAAATATCGTTTTACGCTAATAGCAATGACCACCTTGATCTCACCATCAGATTTCAATGATCTTAAAGGTCTTTTCCAACCAAACGATTCTATGACCACAGTTTAATAAGAGGGTCTTGCTAGAGTCTGCTGACACTTTAAAAAAGGTGTTTATGTCTGTGAAAGAGATTTTTATGCTGTTTTTCATGGTTAAGGTTTGGCTGAACTTCCTGTGTGTGCTTGTAAAATCCTGACTTGCCAGAGTCACCGCGAAAGGTGTGACCTTGTCGTTGAAAGATTTAATGTGAGCTACTGACGGGTGAAGGCAAAGCTGCAGCAGCAGCCCCTGAACTTCAAGTAGGGAGCACTGGGTACAATGTTGGGATCAGCAGTTTCCCCAAATGCAGATGAGGTGGGCTTTGTTGTGGTGATTTCATTTAGTTGGGTGGTATCTCTGTCACGTCAGCAGTTCAGAGGAGACCACGAGGATGATGCCAGGGCTGGAGCAGCTCTGCTGTGAGGACAGGCTGAGAGAGTTGGGGCTGTTGAGCCTGGAGAAGAGAAGGCTCCGGGGAGACCTTCTAGTGGCCTCCCAGTACCTGAAGGGGCTCCAGGAAGGCTGGGGAGGGACTTTGGCCAAGGGCAGGGAGTGACACAACAAGGGGTGATGGCTTGAAAGTGGCAGAGGGGAGCTGGAGCTGAGATGTGAGGAAGAAATTGTTTGGTGTGAGGGTGGTGAGCCAGTGTCCCAGGTTGGCCAGAGAAGCTGTGTCTGCTCCTCCCTGGAAGTGTTCTCGGCCAGGTTGGATGAGGCTTTGAGCATCCTGGTCTAGTGGAAGGTGTCCCTGCTGCTGGCAGGGGGGTTGGAACTGGATGAGCTTGAAGGTCCCTTCCAACCCAAACCAGTCTGGGATTCTGTGAAAACAGGAGAGGTTGGCTCTGGATGACCATAGGTGTGCAGGACAGCTGAAGATAAATAACAGCCATTTGCACACCAGTGCTGCAGAAATACTCCTTACAACGGGTCTTAGGGCTTCATGTTGAGATTTTTTGGTGGTTTTTTACAGCAGCTCGTGTTTGTGTGCATGTTTATAAAGCAACACTTGTGTTCTCGAAGCCAAGTCTTCTGCCAATAAAATCATTGAGTGTGTTAAAACATTTTGTTTTCATTCAAGCTTCTGATCAGAGACTGCTCCATCCAAAGAGGACTTCAGTTTGCTAAGAGTGGTCCTGAAATGCCTGCAGCTCGTCAGCTGCCGAGCTTTGAGCTCTCCTCATTCCTTCCTGTGCACAGTTGGGCTCTAAACAGATGGTAGAGCAGGAGCAGTTCTGTTCTTGTTGAATGCTTCTGAAGGATCTGTTTTGTGTTGTTCTTGGACACTGGTGTGTTTGATATCTCACAGAACCGCTTTGCTTTCCCTTAGCAGCTCTAGAGCCAAGGAAGGCAACGCTTTGTTTAGATCCTGTGCTACCATTTTAGCTGCCTGGTTGCAGAATGAATTTCAAATGCTTCTCAGCAACATTAAAGCTGTCTGTAATTTGGTGTTTATTCTGTGTTAGCAAATACTCCTGAGGTGCAAAATAACGGACCTGAAAGAAAACAAACTGTTCTGGTCTGATAAATAAGATAGAAGCTTGATGACAAACATTCCTAGTGTATAAAATCTCCAGGCCATCTAGTCCAACCCCCTGCAGTGAGCAGGGACATCTTCAACCAGATCAGGTTGCTCACAGCCCCGTCCAGCCTGACCTTGAATGTTTCCAGGGATGGGGCTTCTACCACCTCTCTGGGCAACCTGGGCCAGTGTCTCACCACCCTCAGTGTAAACAATTTCTTCCTTCTCTCCAGTCTGAATCTCCCTCTTTGAGTTTAAACCCATTTCCCTTGTCCTGTCACTACAGGCCTTGCTGAAAAGTCTGTCCCCATCTATCTTATAGGCGCCTTCAAGTGTTGAAAGGCCTCAATAAGGTCTCCCTGGAGCCTTCTCTTCTGCAGGCTGATCAGAAATGAGTTGGATTTGTTATTTTAGGTCCGATCTCAACAGTGACCTTTCAGATCTTGACAACTTTTTGTTGTGGTGGAGGAGGGATGTGAATGGAGACCTTCAGGAGCCGTAGTGAATATGAAGCCTGGGTTGTGGGTGTTCATTTCTAATGATTTGTTTTGGTCTACTTAATACAGATGAAAAACTTCTTAACTGACAGTTATGATCGTAGGTTTAATTTACTGTGAAATGGATGTTCAAAGAGTAGTTTGGATTTCTGGTTTACAGCTTTGCAGGGACTTTTTTGCAAGCTACTCGTGTAAGGAAGGAATTGTAGCTTTTAGATATATATCAGTTTCTGCTTGCAAACATGAAGGATTCTACTTAAACCAAATGCATTTAATCCTCTCAAAACATTCTTAAAGGGGAACATCAAACTTCTCAAGTGATTAATCTGAAAATTAAACTATGCATTTGATAAATTAGATGTCTAAAAATCCACTAACAAGTATGTATTTGTTTAAATAATTACATAAAAGTCAACATCATTGTGTTTTTTCTTTTCTTTTGGGTTCTAGGCAAAGTGCTTCATGGATTTCAAAGCTGGAGGTACATTATGTCACATTCTTGGTGCTGCTTACAAATATAAGAATGAACAGGGCTGGTAAGTTTGTATTTTTGATTTCTACTCCTTTTGCATGAACTTAAGCACATGAAATGCTTATGCAAACTACTTAAAAGTTTAATACTTTCTGGAGAATTGGGTAGGCAAGGGAGCTGGAGATGGGAAGAGGGAATTTTTTCCTGTTTTGCTGATGGTAGCTTTTTAAAGACACATCTCCACACTTCTGAATTTAAGGATAAGTTGTCCAAGTTTAAAGTCTTGAGCCTGTAGGTCAGGAGTTAATTACAAGCTTGAGGCTTTTTTTGGCCATTTACTTGCTGGATGACAGAGCAAATTAACCAATATCTTAGAATCACTGTTTCCCATCTGTAGGATGTAAATCTTTGTTACTTTATTGAGTCTAGGGTTTAGTTATAACTGGGAAAATGAAGCATTGCATAGATACTGATAAATGCTCAGTTTTCCATTGCTTATCAACCTCCATAAATGGGGAGTGTAAGGAGTTAGAAACACTGCTCATGTAGCTGTTTGCACTGGTGTTAAATTATTCATGTGACATCCTAGTAGTGCTTTGACCTGTGTATTTCTAAGTTTTAATCCTTCCCAAGACAGCAGTAACATGAATTACTATATTTGAGAAAATCAGAGGATGAAAAGTCAATAGATAAAAATAAGCAGAGAAGGTTCTTGTAGACGAATTTAAATAGTTTCTGTTCTGATGTTGTGCAGACGTGAAACAGGAATTGACTCATTACCTGCAAGAGCAAATTCAAAGGCAAAAATAAAATTATTATAGGGTGGTTGGTGGTTTTTAGGAGTAGTTTATACTCATCTTGGCTAAATGGATATCTGTGATGGATATATTGGAAAGCTGCTATGAGTAAACTGCTGGCATGTTTTTTTTCTCTTCCAATATTGCCAACACCCAGGGCATGATCTGTGTTTGTAGTGTTCTGTGTGGTGTGTCTTTGCCTTAAGAGAAAGGAGTTAAATGGCTCCTACTTCCTGCATATTTAAACACTCCACTTTTTTCCAAACAAATTTAGTTTTCAGTCATTTATATTTGTCAGCAAAACTCAAGATACGTGATTGCCTCCTCTCTTCTCACTCTCTTGCTGATTCCTCAGAACTAGCGTGGGTAGTGTCTTGTGTTTGTGCATGTGGGGTGTAGAGGGGAAGTAATACTTGAATTTAACTCTGAGGATCAGACTTAGAGCTTGGAATGTATCCTTCACTGACTCAACCAAATAATATGTGGTGTTTTGCCTGAATTTATTTATTTTTTAATGGTATGTATTGTCGCTCTTGCTTAACCTGTTTGTGAATGATCTGTCTTATAGGAGAAGTACCTTTCCTCGTCATAATAGGTATGTCTGAAAAATGCACTTACCCAGTGCAGCTGGACATACCTTGTCTATCACTGCAGTTCAAGTAGTTGTTCGCTAAAACCTGCCAGAGGGTATCAGTTCAACTAAGGAGAGGAAGAATTATTACTGCTGTTTTATCTAACTAAAAAAAAAAGTGCTGTTTCTTACTATATTGACATGCTTCTCTTAAAGTATGGGTTTCAAAAGCAGGCAAAAATTTGGGGGCATGTATAGCATTTAATGAAGGAAGATGTGATGCAGATTTTAGGCAACCAAATGTAAAAATTTTGGTCCAACTTGAATGCTTCCAGTATCTTTGTTTCATATTTACTGAAGATTTTATTAGGTGTCTAGGAAAATAGGTTAGTTTGTGTTTATTTGGCATTTATCTCCCTTCACTTCCTTGAAGCTATTGCATTTAAGAAGCATATGTTTTGAATACAGACCACGAAGCTGTCAGTGGGTGAACACTGGAGAAGCATCTTGATCTTGACTCTTAAAATCCTTTGTGTTCTAGGTGTAAAATATTGATTGAATTGTGTTGTGCAGTAAACTGACAGACTTCTTGATGTGACTGGCTCTACTTCTAGAAGTCACTGTAAACCCTTCAACATGCACAATGCTATTTAAAGAGATCATAAATTTCCCTTTAAAATTGAAAGATGGTTCTAATAAATATATAAGGATGTTATCTTTAAGTTGTTTGCCAGGTCTTTAGTGTGAGGAGAAGAGACCCTAATACTGCTTTAGGAGAGAAACCATCAGTCACTAATAATGGATGTTTCTAGCTCTGCCCAACATTACAGCATATTTGCACAGTACCTCCTGCGTGGGCAACTTCTTTCTGAAAATGCTTGAGAGCCTCAAGTGAAGAAAAACCTGGTGGTCTCAGCTGAAATGACTTTGTTTAATTTGGTAGTGTAATATTGATGTGATGCCATGGTTGTGTGGTAATGAGTTTTGTGACTGAAAATCAGTCTTGCTTTGGTTTACCTTCATTGTATATTTATAAGCTTTAAAAATGGATTTGATGTCTTTAAAAGAAACTGTTGTTAGTTATAGGCACAGGAATAAATTATTGTATTTTAAGTTGAGGTGTTAACTTAAAGCCTATCAGTCACTGCATAGTAATTATGTGCATGGCTTTTTCAGGGCACTTTTAATTTTATTTGCTGAAATCCCTGCTGCCAGTATTGCCACTCCTGAACACCAGCTCAGCTCTCCACTTAAGAACCTTTTCAGACTCTAGCAACAGCTTTTTCCAAAACTTGGGAGGTACAGAAATACCCCAGATGGTGCTTTACATCCTGATTAACTAAACATATCGTTGTGCTTTGGAAAAGGCTGAATTGTGAAGAGCTAATTGTTCAGAGGCTCCTACAACAGTTTCCCTGGGCTGGTGGGGATGAGCCCATGCGATAGTGTGGACACCTGCGGGTGCTCAGCTTGGTGAGGGACTGACATTAGTGCTGTTATTGTCCCACCTCTCAGGTTCTTGGGGGGTCACCACTCAAATTCTTCACTTGATTTGATTCATCCATGTCTTCTGAATATGTACAGTCAGTCAGGTGGATATGACAGAAAGCCTTTGGGGGGGCTCTTGTGGTGGTTCCCAGCAGAAAGTCTCTGATTTTGTGTTACCCACCCCATTTCTGATAGACACTTATCTACGTTGTTATTTCAAGAATTGTGATTACTTTGTTAATGAATTAGCAAACTTGAAAGTACCAGAGTCCAATAAAGATGATCGTAAAATGCTTACGTGGATTATTAGCTTCCTCTGTGCTGTGTGTGGGGTGGCTTGTTCTCAAAACAGATGAGTATTTTAGAAAATCTCAGGCAGACCAATTGCTGTGTTTTTCCTGGATTAGAATCTGGGACTGGTGGATGGTGCAACTAGAAGTAAGAGAAACGCGAGACCTCGTTCAGGAATTTTCTCATCTAGTTCTTGAAATCCATCGTGAGCATTTGATTATGTTTCTGTTTAATTCTCCTTTGTGACTGTAGTGGAATGCACACCCCTGCTACAGGGTTTTGCTGGACAATGTCAACCTTCATTTTTCCTAAACATTTCACAAATCAGTTGGATTTTGTTGGTTTGGTTCATTGTGATTTTTCTTGCTTGTGAAGGGCTGCCAAGTGAAGCAAAAGTATTTGTGATTGTGCTTTAAGTGTTCTCACATAGCTACCATGATACACTGTTTTTATGTGCAACATGAAAGATTCTTGACTGCTGGATGGAGGAGGGTTGAATTTAATATTTTTGAATAATTTTCCTTAACAGGCGGAGATTTGACCTGCAGAATCCATCCCGAATGGATCGAAATGTGGAGATGTTCATGAACATTGAGAAAACACTAGTGCAGGCAAGAAACTCTTGTGCAATGTGTGATCACATGCTTGGGAAAGGGCTCTACTGGCTTTTTGTTCACCTCTGTTGTGACCCACTGAAGAGTTTCATACTGGACTTCTGTAGGACTTCTTCCCTCCCTCTCCCACCCATTTTAGTCACAATTCCATGTTATTACTTGAAAACATTCTGAAGTTTTCATTGATATTTTGTGGCTATGCATAGTGTGAGGAAAAAAAACCTATTTGTAAGGTAGCAGAAAGCATCCCCAGTGTCTCCATCTTCCTCTGACAGTAGCACCCTTAGGACTGAGTAACTATTTTTGTACATACCCATTCCATTGCTGACTTGCTCGAGTCTTTCAGCTTGATACAAGTTTGACTTTTTTCAGGGTTAGGGGACATTTTAGGATCTCACTTGCTTTATCAAGCAGGTTACGACTTGAAGAGAGCAGATAAAAAAAAAATAACCTAAAATTAGATTCTATACAATTGTTAACTGCTGTGTGAATAACAATGTTGTTTTTCAAACTCTAAAACCAAGCTCAGTGTATAATATAGTCAAGACATAACTTTTAGGTGCTTGTCAAAAATGGAAATAGGAGGGACAGCAAAAAGAACCAATACTCTTATTATAAAAAGTTATTGCCATTGTATGGTGGTTTCAGTACATGATAGAGCAGATGTTAAAATCCAAAATAAACGAATGTGTACCTGCACATAACACAGAAATGCATGAATCTGCATGTCAGTGCAACAGGACAGATTCAGGTTTGGAAATTGACACGTGGGACACTTAAATTCCCTTTCAAGCAAAGTTTCCCAGAGCCTGTCAGAAACTCTTTGAAATCAAAGAGGTGATTTCCATTAAAGATGTTGTTGTGAAAGCAGGAACGGGAGGACAGCTACGCTGGGTCACATTCCCCTCATCTGTGATAGTGTCTCTGATGGAGCTGACAGCAGATCTGCAGAGACCAGAAAGAAACCCAGGACAAGACTTTGGCAGGGAGGTGTCTGAAGGAAATATTGCTGTCCTAGGGGTTTCTGGAGCTCGAGTTAGTGTGCTGTATCACAAGCTGATACGTGTTCCTTCTGAGCTTCTTCCAGCGTTGATGATCTTATAGCGGCCTCGCAGTACCTGAAGGGGCTACAAGAAAGCTGGGGAAGGACTTTTCATAAGGGCATTTAATGACAAAACAAGGGGAAATGGGTTTAAACTGAAAGAGGGGAGGTTTAGATGAGATATTAGGAAGAAGTTCTTCACTGTGGGGGAGGTGAGCCAGTGTCCCAGGTTGGCCAGAGAAGCTGTGGCTGCTCCTCCCTGGAAGTGTTCTCGGCCAGGCTGGATGAGGCTTTGAGCAACCTGGTCTAGTGGAAGGTGTCCCTGCTGCTGGCAGGGGGGTTGGGACTGGAGGAGCTTTAAGGTCCCAAACCATTCTATGATTCTGTGATCTTAATAGGAGTTTTTTGATTTATGTCACAGGTGGCCTGTTAATTTCTTATTTAACTTCCTATTCTCTCCACTAGAACAATTGTCTGAGCAGACCCACCATCTACCTCATTCCTGATATAGAATTGAAGTTGGCTAATAAATTGAAGGATATTGTCAAACGTCACCAGGTAACTGTTAAATAGCATTTCTTAAAACAAATGTTTTGTCAATTGTAAGATAAAATGTATTTACCTGACTTAAGTGTATCAGTTACTTCTGGATTGTGCCTGACAACACAAGGCAACAGCAAGAAGTCACTTAAGACCAAACGTTCATCATTTGTAAAATGCCATTAGTAGTTACCCTCATGTGGAGAATGAATCATAACTCTTCTAAAAGTAAATCTGAAATGGTGATTGAAGTGAAAAGTAGTTACGGTGTCTCGGTGAGTTGGCTGCAGACCCTAGGTGATTTCATGTTGAATACCTACTGATATAAACCAGAAGCTCACCAAACCTGAGACCTAAGAAGGTAGTGTGTAATACAGCTGTTCTGGATATGTGGGGACAGCATACAGAAGCTTTCATCTTAAAATAATCACTATTTTAATGCTTTATTTTACTTGCTTTTTTCTTACTTGTGTTGAACAGAACACAAGCAACAACAGTCTCTTGCTTGCTAGGTAGTCAGCATATTTCTGAGGCAGTCAACATCTTGCCGTTCTAATTTAATATCCTAAACAATGAACTGAACAAGATTAATAGCTTCATCTCTTAAAAATGTAAACGGTCTTTTCACTTGTCTTGAGAGAACTACCCTGGAATGTGAACTCTGGATGGTCTGATGGCCCTTTGTGTTATGAGAGTTCACAGCTGGAGCCAAAGTCAACTGTTTCTTTTCCAGATTAAATGTATTTCCTGTGATGTGATTATCAGCCATCATCTCAGCTTCAGCTGTGTAATTTTTCACAAGTTACTCTTAATTATTTAGCTGATTGAGGATGCTTGCTCTTGCTTAATTAGAATAAATGATTCCGTTTCCCTTTCATAAAGGAATTCTGTAGTGAACTCCAAGCATGCTCTATCCATGAATGATTTAAGGGACTTCAGAGCAGACAGCTTTGTCTGTAGAGGGATGTGAAGAGCTGAAAACAGAAATTGTCCCTAATTCTGCTTTTTGGGCTTTCTACCTTTGCCCTACCTATGAATTCTCATCTTGTATTTGTGTTACTACCTGTTCTTGCTCACTGGCTTTTTATTTATTTATTTATTTACTTATTTAAATTTATTTATTTATTTACCTATTCTTGTCCCAGCACAGTGCTAGTATGATCTCTGGGCTTATAAAAAGAGCTGTCAGCAAGATGTTTGTTCTCTCTGCTGATGAAGATGCTGTTACTATTTCTGGTAGTCACATTTTTTCTGACTTTTCTTTATAAATGTTGAGAATTCTTCTGAAAAGAGCCAGAATAATAATTTAGGAACTTGAAATCAGGTGATGAGGGAGATTTAGCATTTTTCTGCTTCAAGAAAAGTGTTTTGTTGGTAGAGAACTCTTAAATCTTACTATGTCTTTAGTGTCCAGTCACATTCAGTTTAGCAGAGGCAGAGAATAAGCTTTACAATCTGCTTACATCTTTCAGGAAGCTGTTTTCATGTACAGTTATCCATCCCTTTGTTTTTAGTCAAGATAACATCTAAGAGAGACTTCCTGTTCCTCTGTTGTCTATTGGGTTTTTTAAGGCTCCATAGGAAACATGAAACTTACTGGTCTGATTCACAAAGCTCAGATTCGATATTTAGAGAAGTTTCTTTAGCTCCCAGGGAACAAAGGGAGAATTTCCATTATTATTCCTTAAACACTTTGCAGGTTCTTCATTCATCCCAGGGCTCTTTCCTTTCCCTTTAAATGCTTTCAAATTCTTCTTACTTTCCAGCTTTCTGTTTTGCTGTTGCTCAGAGCACCTCTTCTCCCTTCACCCATTTCTGTGAACTCTTGGTGGTGTAGGAACTCTTGCCCTTCAGCCCTTGATACCACAGTAGTCTCCAAATGTTGCTACCATAATGCAGTGCATCTTCATGCTTTTTTAGTTTTCCTCCTTTTGATGCTGTCTTCTAAATAAGTTGTTTGCATATTGTTGGCTGTAACCTATCCCATGTGCTCTTAAGTCCTTTAAAAAAATCTGTCAAATATTTATGGAATGGAAATTTTGAATAAAATTTTAATACAAACTGTTCCAAAAAAATAACTTCTCTGCAGAAGAGTCTGCAGACTGTGAATTTCTGCTGTCCTTGGAAATGACACTTCATATACAGAGACTGGAGGTATCTCTGCAGCATCTGGGAGAATCCTTATGGTTCTCCAGGTGAGGGAAGGACAGGGTTTTCTTGACTGGCCACTGGTTTTCTTGACTAAGCAGTGATATGTGTTTATTTAGCACATATCTAATCATATAGTAGTTTTTTGGGGGTTTTTTTGTACGTACCCATACGTAGAGAAAGTGCTTTATGTACAACTGTTTGTGGCATCTATGTAAGTGCTTCTCATACATCATGAAAATTATGTCCTAAACCACCAAGAAGAAATAATATTCTCCTGTTTGAATATTTAATAAACAATGGTATCCTGTTAGTGTATTTCAAATTTATTCTCTTTGTTTTATGATTTAGGAGGCTTTTTTGGAAGAATGGGTGTTTATTCTGTCTCTTGACATAAGAGCCTTTCTGGAATACTAAGGGTGTTCTCTTCAGGGCAGCCATTTCTAGTGAAGCTTCTCATAGATTTTATCTTATATAAATTGTCAGATTTAGAAATTGTTTTGGACCAAAATGTGTATTTAGTGGAAGAAAAGTTACAGATGCTTTCTTACAAAATATTCAATAGGTTTGTATGAACTGGTAGTTGAACAATTTACAGTGAGAATTGGGGCAGAAGGAACGAGGAGGAGGAAGGATTTGAGATGAAAAGAGCAAGAGATGACAAAGTAATTTGACAGCAGTATTAAAATAATTGCCTTTTTCTGGCACTTCTTAGAGGTGGTGTTTGTAACTGCATTGAAGTTAGTCATGAATATTTCTAGGTTGCATGGGATGTGGATTAAGAAAAAGCAGCTGAGAAGTTTGGGGTAATGTGTTGAAGGTTTCTCATGCAGTTTTTTCTTTTCTTCCACCTTTCCCTCAGGGAACAGTAACTGAAGAGAAATCAAAGGCTACCCACCATGTTTATCCAAGTCCTACCTCAATGGATGATGGTAAAGTTGCTTTTCAATTTTTAACTGGAAACAGTCATGTGACTAAATTCTGTCAGCACTTGTGGGAGCTTTTGCACAAGCGGAGAACATTCCTGACCTGCTCCCGCGAGCCACTGGAAAAGTATTTCTAGGATTGACAACTCCAAATAAAATCATTGTATCCTGTTTCTAACTATTGGGTGTAACATTCGCATTTTTAATTGATGCAACGTTTTCAGATTAAGATCTGTAACACTGACTGCTCTTTAATGATTGTGTTGGAAATTGAGATATTATTTATTCCTGAATGCAGTTAGAAATTTTGTTTGTCCCAAATAAGTTGGAGGCTGAAGAGGAGCAAAGCTAAGGGTCTGGAAGAACTTAACAAAGAAATTAATGTAGATTAAAAGTTAAAAGGAAAGATAGGGAAAGTAGGGGGCTTAAAACCAAAGTTTCCTTTTTTGTTTTTTTCTTTCACTGCTTCTCTGGTGTCTCCCAATGTGTAAGTATAGGTCAGAATGTTGAGTGAAGCATTAATTGGAATCAGCTAGCGGTGGGAAAGCCTTTGATGTTAATAAATAAATCAGAATCAAAAGCTCTTTGCCATGTTCCTGTCTTCCCATCTGATGGCCACTAGATGGAAACGTTTGCTCCTGTATAGGAACAATCATGGATTGTTTGTCCTCTGGTATTTGTCTGTGCTCTGTACTTCTGCTAATATCATGCCTAGCCACAGGTTTGTGTTTATTGTTAACCACCTCAGGTTCTTGGAAGAGGGTTGAGCACAGTAGGTCCCATCTGTCTTGCAGTCTGTGAGCATGCTAGACAGAGCTGTCTGAGCCCCTGATTATACTAAGGTGAGAAAACAGCCATGAATTCAGGCAGTGTAACTCCATACAGCTTCAAATCCTCAGGGTTTCTCTTTTAATCCCACTCTGGGCCATATTCTCAATATTTTGGTTGCAGGGGGTAGGTTATTACATTGTGTCAGTTGTGTAGTTTAAAATAAAATAGAAAAACCCGAAACAACTTTAAAACACCAGTCAGACTGAGTGTGTGCCTTATTGAAAAATCAGCAAAGTATTACAAGTTGCTCAGTAAGTCTGTATTAACCTGAAGTCCTTACTGGCACTGCTGTGAAAGAAGAAAGTTGAAATCCAAGTTTTGTTAGACCCTTGGAAGTTTTTTATTTAAATCTGTTTCACCACTACCACCCCATGCCCTGACATTCTTCCTTCAAAACTCTATTGTGTTTTTTCAATACCTGTTGAGAGTGGAATTTAGTACTGGAAAGAGGGTCTTTTGAAATACATATAAATTAATAGAAGAAATTAATGAGGGGATTCAGATGTCTAACAAGAATACAGAAAGAGAGAGGGGAAATACTTACCACTTGACAAGAGAGTGTTCTGGGAGAAGTTTAATCTTTTTGGTTATACAGAGATTTAAAAAAGTGACCAATTGGAGCGTGTCTCTCTCTCTCCATGCTATTTCTGCTGGCTTTACTGAATGTCCTGTAGGAGGATGTGCTCTGTGCCCATTCTTAGTTCCAGGACCAGCTGGCCAAGGAGTCTGGGAGGTGAGACGGGACGAGATGAGCTGGCAGAGGGTCGTGCTTCTGCCTGCCAGCCAGAAATGCCTCTCTTTTCTGTTGAGAAACAGATGACTATTTCAAGCCTCACTGGATCTTAATCTAGAGTGTGTTAGGGTATGAATGTACGTGGCCAGGAAAGGAAATAAAAGAATTTCTTAAAGTCATTAAAATGACTTTACTGATGTCACATCTGTGTCATATAGAGGCAGAGCACACGTGCATTTGGCCATGGCAAAGCTAACGCAGGCAAGTGTGTTACCGTGGCAGGCCAGGCCATTGTGATTGCACTGCAGTAGACTTATCAGAGGTAATTGCAATAACTTTGCTACGACTGACTATGGAAAAACAAAACAGTTTTTAATGTGCTTTACAATCTGAATCTGATGCTAGATCTCT